TCTAGTCGAAAGCAATATAACGACTACATTCGTAACTATAAGCTTAACTAACGAAACGCACTAAGGGCTCTACTAAATGACTATTTACTAGTCGTCTATACTATATAGTACATTAACGGCGACCTAAAACGCACCTAGGATAACTATTTTGACTCCCTTAATAACTAGACTACTGTTTAGTAGCAGACCTACAAAACCATTATACTAGATACCCTTAGAAACCCTATACTAAGGCAATAACACGCTTAGGACTAGTACCTTCGAGCTAAACAAAAGACTAATTAATCGGCTCGCTTATTTAAGGCCTATTTAAAGACCCTCGAAGACGACCTCCCGACTAAAACTAATTCTATCTAGATCTCCGAAATACGCCCTAAATTGAGATAGGAATTAGTCCTTGAATTAGACCGCCGCCGTGTGTTTGAATAGGCCAATCTTATACGCATTTAATTCATAGTCGAAGTCGAAACTGCTAAACGAGCTGTCTAGCTCTAGCAACGACTAGAATTAAGGATTCGACCTACTAGCAACCGTAGCAACCGTAGCCGCGGAGGAAACTAAGGTTCCTACTAAGACAATAATACTAACTATAGGAATAGTAACAACGACCGTAGAAGAAGCCGTAGCTAGCGGCTATATAGAGGAGGCCGTAATAGGGGCCGTAGAAGGGGCTCGTATCCCTATAGTACTAATCGCTCGGCTAACAATAGCGGCAATAGCTATAGTAACCCCCTAACCGGACTGAAGTGCTTTAATTGTAATAGCACTAGCTATCTACTAGGCTAATGCGACAAACCTAAGGACTAGGCCCGAATCGACCGTGCTGCCGCTAAGCACCGAAAGTACCTCTTAGCAGCTAATGCTACCCCTATAGGCCAACCTTCGAAAAAAGAGTAAGCGCCGCACTAACTGTTAGCCTCGTACGGCGTAAGACTATCGACATTGTGCTAGCTATTACACGTACCTGTCTTATATCTAGGCCTAATACTAACTATAAGGCAAAGGTTATGCTAGACCTCGGAAATTTAGTTAGTGCCCTTATTAGCTATCGCCTAGCTAAGCAATTAGACCTTCGACAACTGCCTAGGACTAACCTACTAACCCTTGCTTAGTTTAATAACGCTCGGCACTTGACCTATAGGGCCTACTATGTCTATATAGCCCTAAAGGACGACCTCGGCAATAAGCGCCTACTAAACTTTACTGCCTACGCGGTAGATATAGACAGCCTCCTATCCGAGATTGTTATTAGCAACCCCGTTCTTAAGTACTATGCTATGGTTATAGACTTAGGCAGTTAATAATAGCGATTTGGAATCGCTAGGAAAGAGGACATTAAACATATTAATATTAGCGAGTGCCCTAATAATATTAGGGTCCTGTTTATTAGCAACCTAACCCTAGCCGATCCGACGGCCGACCTACTCGGTAGTAATAACGATGAACCTATACCCCCTAATAATCCTAATTAGCTTGCTCGTATACTAGAGCCTATCCGAGAGACCTATATTAATATGTTTAAATACTACCTAGCATCGACATTGCCTATGTTCAAAGAGACGGATTATAAGATTAACATTATAGAGGGCAAAGAGGTCCCCTTTAGGCTACTCTACAACCTTAGTGAAAGGGAGCTTGCTATATTACGTAAGTATCTAGAGGAAAACCTAGCTAATAGCCGGATACGGTATAGTAACAGCCCTGCTAGCGCCCCTATCCTATTCGTACTAAAGAAGGATAGTAGCCTACGCCTATGTGTTAATTACCGCGGACTCAATACTGTTACTATTAAAGACCGCTGTCTACTTCCGCTTATTAACGAGACTCTCGATCGCCTTTCTAGTACCTACTACTATACTATATTAGACATTAAGGACGCCTATTACCGCATCTGTATTCGCAAGGGCGATAAATAGAAGACAGCCTTTCGTACTCGCTATAGCTATTTCGAGTACTTAGTTATACTATTTAGGCTAGCCAATACCCCTACTACATTCTAGTCCTATATCAATTAGGCCCTTTTAGGCCTATTAGATTACCTCTATATAGTTTACCTAGATAACATCCTAGTTTACACACACTTACCTAACATTATAGAACACTAGGCTATAGTACGAAAGGTCCTCGACCGCCTACGGGCCTATAGCCTATATTGCAAGCCTTCTAAATGCACCTTTGCTGCTAAGGAGGTGTCTTTCCTTGGCTTCCTCGTATTAACTAAGGGTATTAAGGCTAATTCTAATCGGATTAAAACTATTACTAAATAGCCTGTTCCTACGTTAATTAAGGAGCTGCAGTCGTTCCTCGGTTTTGCTAACTTCTATCGCCGATTTATTAAAGGCTATTCGAGGCATGTAATGCTACTAACTAAGCTTACTAAAACTAAGGCCAACCTAACTAGGGAGTTCAAATAGACTAACAGAGCACAAGCCGCTTTTGACGGTTTAAAGAAGCGCTTTACTAAAGTCCCCTTATTGCACTATTTTGTACTAAGCAAACAGATCCGCATTAAGACTAACGCTTTACAGTTTGCTATATCAGCTATTATGTTACAACAGGCTAATAACAATTACTAGCACCTAATTGCCTTCTTCTCGAGGAAGATAATTAATGCTAAGCGTCGCTACGAGACCTACGAGCAAGAGCTCCTAGCTATTATCGAGGCCTTTAAGTACTAGAGGCACTACCTCGATAGGGCTTAACATACAATACAGGTCTATATAGACTATAACAACCTCCGTAGCATTACTAAGGTTACTAGGGTTATAGGTCGACAGGCTAGATAGGCCGTCTACCTCGCTAGGTTTAATTTTAATGTGTTATACCGGCTAGGCGTAAGTAACCCTACCGATAGCCTATCGAGGCGACCTAATTACGATAGCGAGACCGAATACATCAATTCTTTGTTTCTAACCCTATAGCATAAGATTGCTATAGCCCGTATTGTTAATAAGCACGCGTAGGATAAGCGGCTTACCGGACTCCGCGACGGCTTAAAGCATGTTAATGCTCTTGCTATATTAATAGTGCGTGTTAAGGCAAGAGCTAAGGACACAGACAGGAGAAGTTATAATAACTCCTTAGTCGATATCGCTATATATAGTAACAGCGATTAAAGCACTAATACAGTTAATCCGGCTACTAGTGCTATTAGATGTATATAATGCGTACCTCGTTTAATAGCGAGGGTACTATTAAATAACCTTATAAATAGGGATAGTCAATCGTTTATAGATAAGCTATTATAGGCTTAGCAGAGGGACGCCTTTGCTACTAAACGTATCGACAAGCTTGTAAGTAGGCGAACGACTCGATCTAGTAAGAGTAACTAGTCGATCGATAACAAAGGTTATTTAAAGTTTAAGGGCAGATACTATGTCCCCGCTAAACATTCGATCCGATAAGAACTTCTTAAGCGACACTATAATAGTAAGCTTGCCGGTTACTATAGCATAGAGAGGTCGCACGAGCTACTATCGCATATATACTACTAGCTAAATAGTAAGCGGGACATAAAGGACTACGTAAACACGTACGCCGTATGTTAACGTATTAAGGCACTAAAACATTAGCCTTTTAGCGAGTTGTCCTTATTACTAATCCCTTATAAGCTATTTATAGAGCTTATAATAGATTTTATTATAGGTCTTCCCTCTACTAAGCGAAGAGGAAGCAAAGACATCTTTAACGCTATCCTAGTCGTTATAGACCGGTTTACTAAGGGCGCTCGATATATCCCGGCGCGGAAAGATTAGACTGCTATTAATATAGCAGAAGCGCTATAGAACAATATCTTCTATACCTATTAGGGGACCCCTAAAGGGATAGTCTCTAACCGAGGCTCGATATTTATATCTTATTATTAGAGTAAGATTTGCCTACAGCTAAGACTCAAGCATCGCCTATCTATAGCATTCTATCTATAAATAGATAGTCAAACCGAAAGGTAGAATGCTACGCTATAGTAGTACCTACGTAGTTACATTAACGAGAACCCTAACGACTAGGTTAACCTCCTATAGCCTACAGAATTCGTATACAACAATAGTGTATACTTATCTACTAAGGTTTCACTATACATAGCTATAATAGGCTAGAACGCCGCCTTACTATAAGACCTATTTACCTCGCTCGAGGCCGAGCGCAAGGAAAGGGAAGCGCGTCAAGTACTAATACCTAAGACGCTAGCGGCTATTAAGAGGGTTCAAAAGATGCGAGAAATTCACGCTATAATAGCTAACAAACTAGCAAAGGCTTAGGCCTATTAGAAGGCCTACTATAACAAACACTATACGCTAATAACCTTTAAACAAGGCGATATAGTTATACTTAGTACGAAGAACCTCCGCATCCGCAAACACCTATCACCTAATAGCAAAATACGCCCCAAACTAGCACTAAGGTACATTAGTCCGTTCCGCATTCGAGAAGTTAAGGGCTCCTCCGTATAGGCCTATTAGTTGTAGCTTCCTCCTTATTATACTATCTATAATACCTTCTATATATCCCTCCTTAAGCTATATTACCTACGCGAGGGGGATGAAGCCCCTACTAAACACGAAGACATACTAGCGGATAGTAAAGAGCTGTAGTCTATAGAACGTATCCTATAGTACCGGACTAGGAAGGGCAAGAAGGAGTACCTATTAAGATAGCAAGGCTATTTACTAGAATAGGACTTATAGGAAGCTAAAGACTCCTTTAAGGACATAACTAAGTTATTAGATAAGTATTAGACTAGCGTAAAGAACAAGAAGAAGGCTAAAAGCTTATAATGTTACTATTAAGGCCTAGGAACAATGCTACCCCCGGGGTGTTATTAGCTAACTAATTAGAAGCAAGCAATTGTTAGCAATAAAGGACAATAAGACTATACTACTATAGAATCTACCTCTTTACTAGCGCACCTTACTAGCGCACCCTGTAAGACCCTTCTCTTAACGCCCCTCTTGTTCCTTTATTCTATCGAGGCCCTAAGGCCTAAGCGATCGACAAGGGCGATGCGCGCGCGCGCGTGCGAATAACGGTAATAAAGATAATAGCGTCGCGCTACGAGCTAGCGAAGGACGGCGCGGCCGGCGCGGCTATATTAGTAATAGTATTACGGGGTGTGTTGCTATTTAAGAAAGGAAGGATACCGCTATATTAGTAACGGTATTGCCGAGTTACTATTAGTTAAAGAAGGTAAAGTTAGCGCTAAGACGACTAGCGCTTCTATTATTAACATTACTTGCTATTATCGCTGCGCCTATAGATACAATCTTACCTATACTACGAGCCTAAGGCACCTTTAATTAAAACTTTAAGGCTAAGTTAAAACTTTAACTAAGTTAAAAGATTGAGCGACTAATAGACTAACTAAGGTTAAAACTATAGAGCTAAGCTAGCCGGGGTCGATCTTGCGGATAATAGGTTACTCCTCGATCTATCTAACCCTTTAAGCGAGGCGAACCTCTACTACTGCACTTATAATAGCCTTTACCTATAGAAACTAGACGAGCTGTGTTTTTTTGAAAAGATAAGATAAGATTAACAATTGAAGGCTACCAAACCTAACTAATTAGGGCTAGCGAAACTACGAACAATAATAACCCTCGTAATAATAAGAACAAACCCTCGGAGCGGATATTTCTAGGTCTTTTAGAGTAGACGTAGAGAACTCGGAACGATATTACTTAGAACGGAGGCAGTGCTGCAATACCTCTTACGCCTACCTATTATAGTAGGGAAGGCGCGCTCGTATTGTAATTAGTCGATAGCCCTCAATTCTTATAGCTTTATATCCCTTTACTTTATTATATATAAGGATAGCGCAGTTAGAGTTAGACGTTGTATTAGAAAGTGAGGTTTAGTATAGTTATATAATTAGGTAGTTAAGTATTTAATTTAGCGCGGACTAAGAAGCTTACTAGATCTACTAAGTTAGTAGCGATAGAGGTTAAGAATAGAATATAGACCGGCTACGAGGGCGCGGCCTTTGGAAGGGAAGCGTATATTAGGACTAAAGAGGTTACACGTAATTAGTATATAACTAGGCTCGAGTGAAGCTAGGGTCTTAATGCCTTAGGCAGGGCTTAGCGCTTGGCGTTAGGCTAACTAGCCTGCCTTCCTCCCTCTCTTCTAAGATCTCTATCGAATACTACCTATACCTACTACTACCCTATCTACCTGCTAATATAACCCTTCTTACACATTTCTAGCGTTATTAAGCTCGGCCTAGATATACGGAAGTGCGTCCGTCTAATTAGCGTCCGGATAATTAGAGGTAAAGAATCGTAGTGCGATTTCTATAGTCTAATTAGTTCGCTTAGACTAGCCGTCCGACTAAGGGTAGTACGCCGTCGTTACGAAGAACCTCGTACCTAACTTCTTAAAGGCTGCTTTTATAAAGTTACTAAGCTAAATAGGGTCCCGGTCGCCGATTATAATAGCTAGAAGGTTGCGCTCTATTTCGATATATCCTTAGATCCAATCGCTACCGTACTGCTACGCCGTCTACGTTAATTTGCACTTGCGCAGTATAACGCGCTTAGAGTACTTATACGTCTTAGTAAGGAAACTATTATAGCCGTCTTTATTAGGTAGCAGGCCGTAAACCTAGTCCGTAGTAACAGCGTACTATAGAATAGGCTAGCATTTAATCGGCTACAATTTACCGTATAGAGGATAGCGTAGTGTCTAGTTTAGGATGCACTCGGAGCAATAAGCGATATACTTAGAGACCTCGCGCCCGAGCCGGCGTATATAGAAACTAGCGTATAAGCGAGCGTAAGTGCGGTAATAACCTACGTAGTAATAATAATTATAGGCTATCTAGAAGACCTCCTTATATAGGGAGCGGGGGATATATAGTCTCTCTCTACCGTCGGTATCGTCCTTAAAATAGATAAGGTCGTCGCGTAAGAAAAAACAAAGTCCTAATAGGCTCGACTCGGCCTCGCCTATAATATTAGCTTCCTTACGATTAGGGTTGTCGTTAGCGTCTAAGGTCCTCTTAGCGGCGGCTCGTAGGCGGCGATCTTCTATAGCGTTTAGCTAAGCTAGGATTACGGACTAATAGGGGTCCTTAGTATATCCCGCCTTTAAGTCGTCCTTAAATTCGGTAGCGAGTTCTACGAGTACGGAGTAGAAAACTATAGGCTCGTTAGAGGTATACGTTCGGCCGGAGTGCTTGTCGATTATAGTAGCGTAAAAGCATATCGTACCTTCGCTTTCGTATAGGTATATATAGTACGCGTCGATTATATTATTCGTAGGCGCTAGATCGTCGTATACTAGGGGATCTAGTATATCGTATGCTTAATCTGCTACTCGGTTAAGATCCGCTACGAGCCTGCTTAAGGCGTCCGGTATTCTATAAAGGCGTCCTAGGCGGTAGTGTACCTTAAGCTTAGGGTACTAAGAGAGGTACTAACCGGCTCGCACTAGACGGAAGTTAAGCTTGTCCGTAGATATAGTCGTCGCTAGGCTCGCTACCGTAGTAATGCCTAGGGCCGCAATATAGTCGGAAAATATATATACCGGCTTACGTGCCGCTTATAGGATTATCCGTGCCTTGCGTACTATCTAGACTAGTCCGCTAACCTTAAGCTCGGTAGCTAGGTACCGCTTTTCTACGTCCGTAAGGGCTTTGCTAAGGTATATAATAACTTATACCTAATCTACCGGGAAGCGTACGGCCTTGCTATTCTCGATAGTCGGCTCTAGATCTCCCTTAACGTAGTACACTACTGCTACGAATCCTCCTATATAGGCGTCTAGGTCGATATATATAGGGCGATTAGGGTCCGCGTAATAGGAGAACTTAACATCGCGGTACATCTGCCTTAGGATATTAAAGGCCTTGTACTCGGTTTCTAGTGCCTCGTCTACGTCGAAGGCTAGGGTCCTAGCTACGTAGCGCTTTCGCTTATTGCCCTTATTAGCTAGGCTAAAGCGCAAGAGCTCTTTCTTGCGGTTCTCGAATAGTATCGTAATCGTAGAGTAGTATAGAATATACTGTCGTTGCTATCCGGTAAGCCCTAAGTAAAATTCGATGTCCTTTAGCGTCGTAGGGAATTTTAAGTCTAGGATAGCCTAGACCTTTTCCTTATAAGTAGTGTATCCTAGTCCTAACACTCGTTAGCCTAAAAGCTTCGTAGATAGATACGCGAGGAATAACTTATACGGTACGATACTAATGTTCTTACCTACTAGGTACTCGAATACGGCGTTTAGATGCTATAGGTACTCGTCGAAGGTGCAGGAATAGATAACAATGTCGTCGATATAAGTACAGTAGTAGGATTTATATCGCTTAAGGATCTTGTTAAGCTAGCGCTAGATATGTTATACGCTATTCGAGAAACCTATAATAGCTATATATATCTATTTCTAGCCGCGGTAGCTATTAATCGCGAATTTGCTACAGTCCTTCTCGGCTACTACCTATTAATAGAAAAACGATACCGCGTCTACCGTTATAATATAAGTCGAGCCGCGTAGTGCCTTAATAATGTCCTCTTATCTAGGGAGCGGGTAAGAATCCTTAACTGTGATTTTGTTTAGGCCTCTAATGTCTACGACTATACGTCCTTTGCGGACTAGCTTGCCGTCTACTATCGTTGTTTTCTAGACTACGAAGACTAGGAACCTAAATTAGGTAGGCTTAGTAGTAAAGGACATCTTTCCTTATACGTATAGCGGGTCGAACGTCTTGTTTACGACTTCTTTATCGGGGGCGTAGAGTAGGTACGCTACTATAGGAACTTTATCGTTCTTATAGCCTAGCTTTAGCGTAACTTCTAGGTAGTTAGACTTAGGAATGTCTACCGTAGTGCCCTTGTCCTTCTATAGGTCCTCGTGCTTCTTTACTACGGCCTCGATAAGTTGTACCTACTCTTTAGTACTATAGGCCGTTACGCTATTAAAAAGCTAGGTCTCTTTTATAGGGTTCGGCAGGTCCGGTAGCGGAAGGCCGGCTACGCCGTAATCTTCGGGCGCGATATAGTAGCAGCCGTAGTAGTTACACTCGCGTATATACCCTATTTTTATATGTCGTAGTAGAGTCTATAGCTAATCCGTATCGTTACGGACCTATACGAAATTTACTACGGCGTCTACGACAGCGGCGTAGATAGTTAGGGCTTTGTTCTTAAGTTCCTAGTTTTGCGGGTAGAAGGCTACGTCTCGATCTATAGGAAGGTGTATTCTAAACTAGATAGGCACTAAAGTTATAGTCTGCGGTGCTAGAACGACGTTCTTATCGCCCGAGTATACTACTATACGGAACTTAACCTAATCTTTACGGCCTACTAGTAGGGGAATCTTCGCCTTTTTATAGGAATTAATCGTTACGGTACGGTATAGTATATCAATCTTAATACCCTCTAGGCCGATAATGTCTATTGCTATAAGAAACTTAGCGCTAAGCTCCTTAACGACGTGTACCTTATAACGTATATAGGCGATAACCTTAGAGCCCTTAACGATTCCCGGTACCTAAAAATCGAGATCTACGTACTCGCTAATATCCGTCGAACCTACGCCCTTAGCCTTTAGTAGAGCTACTAAACGCTTGCGCTCGATGTCCGGGCGTATCTAGCGTAGGAAAGCCTTATCGATAAGTAATATAGTAGCGCCTATATCTAGGCAAACCGCGTATTCCGTACCGTCCTTCTATAGGCGCACGACTATACGCAGATAATAATAGCTTCGGAACGCGTATCCTCCCTTAACCTTAGGCAATATAGCGGACTTAATAAGCCTAGCGTCCTCCTTTACGCTATCCTTCTTAGGCGTTAGCTCCGTAGCGTGCTTAGTACGCCTATAGTCCTATAAGAGATTGTTGCTATCGAACTTCGCGCTACAATTTAAGTATAAGAACTTTAAAGGCCGTATCGTAGCGAAGGGTTCTATAGCTAGAGGAAGGTACTTACCGATATATAGGGAAAAGGGCGATAGTAGCGGAACTTCGCTATAGTATACTAATACGGAGTCCTAAGAAGAGGCGTTATTATCTACGTCGTCTAATCTATAGTAGATGTCTACCTAGTCGTTAAAATATACTAGTACGGAGTGCGGGCTTACTAGCCTCGCTAAGTAGCGTAAGCTAGATCGTAGGCGTAAGTGCGAACGCGGCTATAGGATAGATATAGGCTCGTCGACTAGAGGCTCCGGTACCTACTTATCGGCGTAATAGTTGCGCGGGGCCTTATTGCCTTAGCGGCCGCGTTCTTGCTAACCCTAGGTATCGCGTACGTCGTTTCGCGTATCCCTATCTTATCGTCGTCTATAATTAGCATTCTTGCTACCGCGTACTTTATAGCCCCGATTATTATTACGTAGCTCTGCCCGATTGTTATAGTTAGAAATGTACTCTTTTTAGCGTCCCTCCCCCGCTAGGGCTTGCCTATCGTTTCCTTAATCCCGGCGCTAATACTAGTTTTAATTAGTATAGCTACTATTTCTAGGGCGCTTATTGCCGTAGCCGCCGGCGTAACCGCGACCTAAATTGTCGCGATATCCGCGTGCTACTACGGCGTACCGATCGTCGAACCTACTAGCGTAACCGCGACTAGAAGTATCGCGATATGCGCCTAAAGAATCGGCGTACCGGTCGCTATTACGAGCGTTTCGGTATTGTAACTTACCGTTATATCTATTGCGGCCTCGTACTATGCCGTAGCTATCGGACTATATATATCTACGGTACTATACTTTATACTTGTCTTTAACGGCTCGTATAAAAGTGTAAATCGTATCGCTTAGTAAAGGCTTGTCGAGCTTGTCCTATAGGCGGGGCTCGAATCGTAACTATACCTAGTAGAGAAGGGCGTACGGTCTATTAGGGTCTGTCTCGAGACCTACCTTATATACGTAGCGGATGCAGTTTATAATAAATTGCTAGGGTGCTCTACGGTTGCGTACGTTCTATACCGTATAGGATTCGGCGTATAGCTTATCCTAGGCCTCGACGATAGATCTACTAAACTTGTCCCTTAGTGCCTTATACTAGCGCTTAATGCCCTCTCCTCCGCGGATAGTGTCGCGGTTATTACTTGTTAGCTCGTAGATAAACTATTACTATACGGCTCTACGTAGGCACTTCGTAAGCTAAGTACGTACTATACGGGCGTAATTAACCGCCGCGTAGTCGCAAGCTACGTCTAAGAACAGGTATACTAAGGTAAATGTAACCTTATTACCGTACGTATAGATATCCTAGCTATCTAAGTCCGCGTATAGGGCGTCGGGGTAGAAGTACCCGATGTCTATCGGGTCGAACCTCTCTAAGCGCTAAGAACGCTACGGGCTATAATAGGGTAAGCGGCTAAACTAAAAGTTATCGATATAGTGCGGGTTAAAGCGGTAACCTCGAGGGCTAAAGTTCCCGCTTTAAGTACTAGAATTACCTAGGCTCGGGCTTAGAGGCCCTCCGCCGGCCGTACCGCCTTAGCTATAGCGGCGTTGTCTAGCCTCGGCGTTGCGTGTTACGTTACAGCGTAACTAATAAGGCTAGGCCTCGACTAGATTAGGCAGTAGGGCTAATAGAACTTGTTTATATAGAACCTGTTTATTTAAACCTGTACGCGCGAGGCGCTTAGCTCTTCTAGTGTCTAGCCTGTCTTATACCTAGCTCGAAGGGATGCTCTAGCGTAATTAGTCGATCTTATCCCGGATCTCGTCCCTAAGCTATTAGGTCTATATAACTTATTAATTTAATAGTTGTCTAAATAGCTAGCGTATCTCGTTACGTAGGACGGCTAGATTAGCGGCATTTAGGATTTCGCCGTTAGCGTCTTTAGCGGCCGCGTTAGCGCTAGCGGCGTTCTAGTTCTCGCGTACTAGAACTTCGCGTAGCGCGCCTTCTCGTAGGCGTTAAGGCTAGGGGTTGTCGTAAGCTAGCTACTTGCCGTTTCGCTAGTTTTAGGAGGATAGTCCCGCGCTAGTATTGCGTATACGCTAGCGGTCCGCGACTAGACGCCTAGCCTCCGTACCTAGGAAAGCGTCGACTAACCTATTACGGCGCTATATCTACTATCGAGAAGGTAGGTCTCGCTCGATACTAGGTTCTACGTATACTAAGTCCGTACGCTAGAATTCTAGGTCTATATTTTAAGACATATCGGCTATATCTTTAGTAGAAGCGGGTAGGATTAACGGCTCTTATTATCGGGGTCCTTGCTACTATATCTCGGGACCTCGATACTAAAGCTTAGGACCTAATAGAGAGGACTCTTAGTAAGGCTTAGTACCTAATAAAAGGGACTCTAGACTACTCGTAGCCGGAAGCTCCTACTGCTCGGGCTTAGGGCTCTATTGCTCCGGAGCGTGCTAATTAGGACTCTGCTACTCCGTATCCTAGTGCTCGGGCTTAGGACCGTATTGCTTAGGACCCTACTATTTAGGACTCTACTGCTTAGGGCCGACTAAAACCGGCGAGGACAGATTAGGACTGCTCGGGACCGACAGCTCTAAGGCACTAAGTTCTCGTAGGCCTAGGAGGAATACAATCGGTAAGGACCTATAACGTATATACGTAACTCGTTGTATACTAGCTACTAAAATAGTCCGACGGCGACGTAGCTACGGGCTAGTGTCTAGACTTAGACTTGTAGGTACTACTATATCTAGTAAGGGTAGTACTAGTTCCGGAGTAGGAGCTGCTAAGTCGTTAGGTCCTATCGTATCTAAAACTGCAAGTTCGTTACAGAGAGTAAGTAGCGTCTTCGCTACTACCGTAACTAAAGAGCGGTTAACTGCCTAATTCTAAGGGAAACCGAGGGTAGTACCGCCTCTAGTATCCGAGAGTTTTCGTAGTATATATTCTTCTAGGGGCTAATAATACGTAGTAATTTTCGTAACGATTGCTATAAGCGGGTCTCTTTACTTCTAGTATACTAACTTAGCGTAACCGGCGTTGGCTAAGAACTCCTTAAAGCAAAAAGCGATGTTTAACGAGTAGGCGTCTAAATCGGGGCGTGCGGAAGCTAGCGTATTTATAGAATAAGCGTAGGCTCGGTAATCTTATAAAAATATAGGATAAGTATAGAGTTAAGGAACTAGACTAAAGTCGGGAAACTGTTAGGGTACTTATAGGCTCTTGCCTCGACCGGTGCCCGCTTCGGCAGGTACTAGTATAGAGTAAACAAACCTAGATAAGGAAGGCGGGCCGCCTAGTCTAGCGATTAGAGGGCTATAAGGCGCCGTCGATTAGAGGACTATCGGTCTATAGCTATATATATACGGAAGATAATATACGGAATTTAGAGGACTGTCGTAATCGTATCTATATCGAGCGTAGGTAGTTATTATAGTTAGGTAGGTAGGTCGGTGCCGCTAGTACGGGACCTCGCGGTCGCGTTTTTTAGTTTTTTAAGGTACCCGTTCGTCTAGTACTCGGATACTGTTTAAACGGATCTAGATCTAACTAAAGCGAAGCTACTAATTGTTACGCGAGGGACGATTAGTAGGTTAGCTATAGTATAGTATTAGGGTAAGTATCTACGGTTCTACGGAAAGTATATACCGGGCTTAGCTAGCGTACCGTCCCTGCCGTAATACGTACTAAAACCCCGATAGAAGCGGATTAGACTAGTAATAAAGGGTATTATATAGTCTATACGGGAGTTTATTTCTATAGTAGCTTATAGTAGCTAAGTATAGATATACTATATAACATCCTTTGTTACTAGTCTAAGTAGAGATAGGGCTACTATAAGCCAGGCGTGAAGAGCTAGTCATTGTTAGTAATCAATCGATTTAGCAGTATTCAATCAATTAGACAACCAATCAATTGAATCATTAATCAACTTAAGGATTAGGTTGCCAAGCCCTTCGACCTCGTCTCCTTATGCAGCACACTATGCATGAAAGAACTGCAATGGATAGAGCCGTATCAGCATGGCTCGCAGAGACTAGCCTGCCCATAGACGGCGCCTCAATCATCAAGAAACTAAACAAATCCTACACAGTGTACGGTCGCATGCTCCTACTGCCACCCACAGCATTCTCAGGTCCAGAATGGGAAGCCATCCACTCCCATCCCAACCATCATCTCCAGGAATCACTCTACCTCCAAGTCTGCAAACATATGAACGTCACCCATATAGCTTTCAACAAGCCTATACCCCTCAACAACAGCACGGAACCAGCTGAGCAAAACATCCTCCGAAGTCCACAGAATTTCACACCTCTGCATGGCGACTTCGGTCCCACGACATGCAGTCAGCCTCCCACCCAGCATGATCTGGACGCTGCATTCTGGGTGACAGCGAAACAAAATGGAATTCTTCAGACGTGGGCACCGAGATGGACCATGTTTTCTCGAGGAAATATTTCAGAGAAAGCACGACTACTTACCCTCCCATCGCTTCTAAATGCCGTGGAAGAAGGTCGAGAAAGTGGCAAAGCTTGTGCAGCGGTGGACTTATATGCCGGAATTGGATATTTCGCATTCTCATATGTCAAAGCCGGGTTCAGCAAAGTGCTATGCTGGGATTTAAATCCTTGGAGTTGTGAGGGTTTGAGGAAGGGGGCTAGAGGGAATAAATGGACGACAGAGACTTTTATGGGGAATGAAGAGGCAATGCTTGGGGGGAATGAGGCGGAATTTCTGGTTTTTAATGAGACGAATGAGCTGGCTCCGGGGAGGGTGGAGAGGATGAGAAATGGACTGCCGCCGATCAGACATGTTAATTGTGGTATGCTGCCGAGTTCTAGGGCGAGTTTGGAACTTGCCGCTAAGATTTTGGAGCCTGCCATGGCAGGATGGGTGCATGTGCATGAGAATTTTCTGGTCGAGGAGATTGAGAAGAAGGCCGAGGAGACGAGGGCGGAGTTGGAGAAGATATTGAAGGGGTTGGGATGCGGGATGGATGTTGAGCTGGAGTACATCAGTCGGCTGAAGAATTATGCGCCTGGGGTTATGCACTGTGTGCTTGATATTGCGGTGCTGCCGAGAAATCGTGGAACGCGTTGATGAGAAGAAGGGATTTAAAGGTGATTGACCAACATTCGTCTGGTATTACTGTGCAGACGACTACCGAAGCATCGCCAACCAACCCATAAGGGCGCGGATTATGTGAGAACTAAAAATCCATAAGGACGCCGCAGTCGCACGCTTCAGCGAAAAATTCTGTTTGCAATCCGATTCCCGATTCCAAACTCCGAAATCCAAGGCTCTCCAAAATGATCCAGTTTCCTCGCCAACACCTTGAAAGGCCCACTCAAGCCTGAGCGGACGATAGCACATGAGACCTTGCAATCCTTCGCTTCAGCATATCCTGTTTCTAATTCGCACATCAAGCTCCAGAGTTCATGTCCTTCCAGATTGGTCCAATCTCCTCATCGGCGCCTCAGCATGCCCACTTAAGCCTGAGTGGTCAATGCGCCATTGCTGGGCGGCTGAACAGCAGTGAATTTGATGTCACGGCGATCAGCAGTCAAAGTCCGATACTGATGGGCATCGACATCCTCCAAAGTGACCCAGGTCCAGACAGCTGGGATCTCAATGAACCGATCCGATTCAAAAATGTGGGTCTGAACGAAACTCAGAACATCATTCTGATCGTGCACAAGCATTTGCATCTTGACGACGTCCTTGCGCAAACCCTTGCGGCTCAGAGCGTACTTGATGGCCATCATGCAGCGGCGGACGTCGCGCAGAGAGCGGGCTGTTTGGTCTGTTTCGAATGAGGGCAAGCGAGTAGCGCTCCGACCGCGCGGCCCATTTTCTTGGATATAGAGGTCGACTTGGTCCTTCTTGACCTTGAATGGGTCGGTGATGTACAGGTTCTTGAGAAGGACGAGACCTGGGTAGTGCTTGTCCTTGTTCTCGTCGGTATAGTGAGTGACGCCGACCTGCTTCAAGAATGCGTTGGCAACATTGGTGCTATCGGTTTCGAAGCTGTTGGTCTTATGATATGTGTCCCAAACCTCGAAGCGGGTCTGGCGACAAACGCGGAAGAGTGCTGGACGCGGCAGCTTAACGGCACCAGTATCTGCCTCCTTTCCTAGAAGCTTGATGTTATCTTCATTCGCGACAACTAGCTCCCAGATGCGATCCCGAATCTCAAGCGGAATCTTGTGGAGGAGGTCGCAGGATTGCTCGACGACCCGAGATGGAGGAGAGATGAGGTGCTTCGCGGCCGCCAGTATTGGGCCGAGTGGAGCCTTCTTTTGAGGCTTGCCCTTCTTGCTGGGCACTGGCTGTGGCGGCGTGGGGACAGAAATCGAGCCCTTGGCTGGGGCCTTCCCCAGGGAAGCGCCTATCTTGGCGCCCTTTTTTAGGAGAGAGGTGCTGACGAGCTCACCGCCCACGTACTTCTTAACGATTGGCTGCTTTGATGCCGCTGGAGTAGAGCTCGAGGCCTTGGTCGGCATCTTGATGGCGGAACCACTCAGCTTGCCTTTCTTTGGCTGGGGTGCAATGTCTTCCTCCTCACTAGCCTTGCGCTTCTGGCCTTGTAATGGCTGAGAGATGTTGGCAGTGGACGCGAACTGCGTGGGCGGCGCCGCGAAGGCTGTGGTGATGTCGTCCTCGGAACTGCCGCCAGTTGGAGCGGCGACCTTCAATTTCTTGGGAATGAGGATGCTGGCCGCTGTGGTATCCAACTCCTGCTTGCGCTTCTTTGAGGGAGAGGCGACAGACTGCGCACCGTTGGCGGTAATCATAGCATTCTTGCCCTTCATTGTGGCGGAGATGATGGTGTAAGGGTCTGAAAGAGGCGACCCGAGTCTGTCGAGATGTTGGAAAGCTTCGAGAATTTGCTCGAGGCGCGTGGCAAATGCTGTGTCGCGGAGCTTGGATGCTGCGTGCAATGAAGATTTGGTGGCGCTTTTGTGCTTTGCTGTGGTATGCCAATGGCGAGGTCAAGCGTGTGAGGATGTCTGAGGAAGAAGCTCGTAAGATGGAAGTGGGAAGAAAAGGGTTGAAGTTTGGGAGGCTGGCGGAAAACAATAGAGCCCCACTCGCCTATTGTCGGCGCCTCACTGGCGAAGGCCGAAGAAAATCATCTTATGAAGCCTCAGGCAAAATTGCCTTCTTCGCGTAACGATTTATAAAGGCTGGTCACGGAGGTTGCTCATTCAGCACGTTCACAGGATAACTTTTGCTACATTTGAGAAGGCCGTGTCAGGAGATGTCGCACTCCTCATGCGTCACAAAGAGGCCTGAAGCGAAAAGAGAGAAAAAAAAAAGGAACGGCCATGTTTCACCAACCCATAAACGCGATCAGCAAAGACGGGGAGCAGCACAAGGACGAAATGAAGCCGTTCTGCTTTGAGTACTTCACATTTCGGTTTGAATCGTGTCGAACGACATTTCAAAGCGAGTATGCTGAGAAGTAGTCCATAGAGTTGAACTCGCGGCCTTATTTGAGTGCTGTGGTTGGCTGGCAGGGCTCGATTGAAGTTGGAATTTAATGCTTTGATTTGCCAAGCTTTCACATGCTTTGCCAGGCAGACTTGGGCACCTGACGCGTGCGACAGCTTCACTTCTCTGCCAAGCCACTAGAGTAGTCGAAACTAACGGCTCGCACACACATGTCATTCCAGCAATCGCGCTCGCTGCATCGACACGACATCAGCGCCTTCGACACGACATGGCGGATCTCGCGCTGAGCAATCGCCTCATTGCGGCCATCGCCATCCTCAATCGGCAAGAGGAGGCTAGTCGCGCTGAGCTTACCGCTTCCACACAGCGCCTTCAGGCCGCCGACGAGGCTCGAGAAGCAGCGGAAGTAGCATTTCGGCAGGCTGCAGCAGCTCATGTCCAGGTGCAAGCCGACCACAAGGAGGTCGAGGCAAAATACGCGCCCATGATCGCCGACGCTCATACCGAGCGCCAAGTCCTGGGAAGTTACCTCTTGGTAGATGCTGGCGATAGGAATGACGAGTCTATCGAAGAGACCCTGCAAAAATATGGTAAGTCTGGCGTCTACCAAAGCCGCGGGCATTCATATCCGAGAGCAGCAATTCAGGTACTCACAATACTATAGAGCAGCAAGGCCCCACTACAGGTGCTCCGGCAGGCGAAGAAGTCGCTGCGCCCAAGTCAACAGGCACTGCCTTGCCGACTGGCAATCCCGCCGATTCGCAACCAAACGCATCGACTCAGCAACCGCCTCCCATTGCATTTCGAAATGGTCAGAAACTCTCCCATCGCGACCACCTGAAGTACTGCCCGGTAATCGTCTTCAACCAGGACAGTAACGACTGGGTCGAACTGCGCTGTTCCGAATGCGGAACCAATATCTCAGTCGCCCAAAAGTGCCATCTGGGCGGTGCTGTAGGATTTGTAAAGCATCTCTCGCGCACCCACAAGATCCTTGGTCTGAAGGCCGAAGACGCTATGAACCGCTGCAAGTACCGCGTCGTACCAGATGATGAGGTCCAGCGGATACTCGACGCTGGGACTGCTGGCGCTCAGCATGTGCCGCAGATTGGCGCCCGCGAAGCGGATGAGTACGAGTCCCTGCGGGGGCACGAAACACATCATCAAGGTCAAGGGCAAGTGGGTGGAGCTGAGATGCTGCTATTGTAACGGCAACAGTAGCTCCATGGACCAGTTCTTCAAGGGTGCCCAAGGCCTTTATGATCACATGCGTAATTCCCAACCCTGGTCGCGAGCTCAACATCGAAGATATCGCTACCACGTGCGCGAAGCGTAAGTGGAGTGGAAAAGCAGTGAGCGACTTGCTTGCTGGAGTTTCCAAGGCATCTCATCGGCGTAAGCGATGGCATCATAAGTTATAACTCCGATCGAAAGATGTCTTTGCTGATCTTGTGAAATAGTCCCAGAGGAAGGAGCGTCGTCCTCGAAGAAGCGCAAGACCAATAAATAAGGACCTGCGAATCATCGACATGCTCAATAGGGATGGTGAGCACGAAGAGGACGCTGGCGGCAACCCATGAATGGGAGATGACGGCTGTACAAATCATGCAATTGGAAGTGTGCAGAGGAGTCTACACTCTGGTTACTGATAGCTTGAGAATTCTTGCCAAAGGTACATTTGGAGGTGGACCGAATCGTGCTTCTCCGTAAATGCAAATGAATGCCAAGAAATGTCATATATAAGCTCACAAGATGCAAGCAACGAGCAGGATTTGAAAGCGCTATTGATCTCGCTGCCTCCCAAATAACACACTGCGACTACATTTGACGCCAACAGACTCTCCCAATCTGCGCTTGTCTGGGAGTTTCAGAGTTCAAAGGTCATAAATCAATGAAGAGTTGGAATACCATGCCAGGGAAGGTCGCTACAGGCAACGACACAATCCGCCAGGCCTCCTATCTCGTGAGCAGTCTAATCGGCTTGCTAACTGGCCCCACATTATCGCACCGCATCATGTACGTAGGTGAAGTGCTCGCCAATGACCGGTTTCGAACGAACCACAACACATATCACATCATATTTACGGCCGGAGAAGTACATTCGCAACCTATATATATCCAGGCGCATTAAGCGGACGAACGAGACGATTCGCCTTCCGACAGCGAACTGACGAATGGACTCATGTATCTCCATGACACAACAACCCAAACATGGTCCACTGCATCGACAACACCGGAACAAAGCCTCGTGCCACGCGCTTTCGTGATGTCAACTCAACGCAATCCGAGGAGCGAGCAAAATCCAGGACTGAACGGAAGATTTGTGAGGTCTTACCTCACGTCAGTCAGGCGCTCCCTTGCCTGTCGTGCTATCCACTCACGAAGCGATCACACGTGGAACCAGGGTTGGCAGTGAAAAGGATATGAGATTACATCAAGGGATTCAAAATCAGTGGCCGAGAGAGAAAAAAAGCGTACTCACGACGTCTAAGATCGGATAGATGTACGAAAACCTTGGAATTCTTTGGTTATCGAACGCTAGTGAAGATTTCGAAGGAGCACATGCGCTCCTAGCTCGTTCACTCCCTCCAATTCAATCTTAAAAAGATGCTGGTCCGTCGCTTGAACTCGCTCCAGGCTGCACTGAGGTTCAAAGAAAAGTGTGGGTAGCGCATATAGGTATATGCTCCGATGCTCAAAAGAGGGAATCGTTCCATCGCTGAGTATGTGCATTCGAATCTACGAAAGTCAGCGGAGTTGCCTAAATCGAAAACAAAGAAGTAACTAACCAAAGATCGTTCGTTCAGAAATCCCTCACTCCTCTCGAGCGAAGGGCTTCAAATACTTGTAGTGTCTCGCCATATAGAGAAGAGACTCAGTAAGCTTCTCATCCTGGCTCTGCACCATATTGACCCGCTCGAGGACGCCTTCCAATTGCTTCGGGATAATGGCTTGTCGTCCATACCCGGTCTCGATGTCTTCCCATCTAGCGACATTTATGAAATAAGACAGATTGGAGCCAAAGCTTTTCTCCGGCATTTCTCCGGCATGTGCGAGCATGTGCGAGCATCTGATGCGGAAGTATGTGGATACCTTGTTTGTCTAAGCCGGCCGCATTGTCTCACTCGTCATCTTCGTCCTCAATGACCTTCTACGTCTTTTTACGCTTTCGCATCGCCGTAAGTAGTGGCTCGTCGTCGTCCTCGTCACTAATAGACACCATCGGCTTCACATTCCTGCCACTTGTCCACTCGTCATCTTCTGCATCCTGGACTTTCTTGCTTTTCTTCCGTTGGCGCTTGACAAGACTGATTGTCGGGCCCTTTGCATCTTGGTCCATGGCATTGGTTGTTTGTCGACTGATGACACCCTTTCTTCTTGCCACCTTAAGGCCACTCGATCCTCCCTCGATGCCAATGAAATCCTTAAGATCCTCAAGTCCAACAAACATGAGATCTCCCTCTCCTTCCACAGTCATTGCCACCTTCACAACTCCAGCCCTCAGCCCATCCACAGTCCTCTCATTCAACTTCTCTAACAACGTCCTCACATATCCGGCATGTGATATCGGATGTGACAATCGCACGGCCTGCACGTGCGGAAGCACGAAATCCGGCAATTGTTTCAAAAACTTGTACAACGCTGTGTGAAACGGGCACTGAAAGGTATTTTCTGCGAAGAAGATTTCCAGACATTCGCGTGCGATCAGCGGACTTCCGAGCGATGCGAAGACGGGTGCGGATGATATATGCGGTGGGCCGTCCTCCCAGTTCAGCTGAATAACTGAGTCTGTCGCCATGGAGTGTCGGTAAATGCTGTCTCTGGCTTCACGCTCAAAGCTCCAAAAATTCTTCCACGGGATCCTGGTGCTTGGCAGCAGAATGCTTGGTTGCGAGGGGGGCGCCAGACCTGATGCTGCGAAGGACTTGACTACTTGCGCCACTGATGGAGCGGGACGCGGGGGCGGAGTCGCTATTATAGGTGCAGTCGAGAGTGTCATTTGTCCAGGAGGCGCCGAGGACATCATAGCCACGATTGGAGCAGGCATGATGTCGGAAGGTGCAGTTCTGGGTGTCGAGGGTCGGGATGCTTTTCGTCTGCCGGCATCGATCCATTCTGGTCTGGTGTTCTCGTCGACCTCGTACCTATGACCATGCCAGTAGTACGACTTCCTGCGTGGCGAGTCTTCATCGACCGGCGAAGGTGCTGCGGGCTATTAACATTTTGGCAGGTGCGGAGTGTTAGCACGGCAACACTCACATCTTTGCCCAGCAACAGCTTGCTTCGACTCTTTCAGCGCTTTGCGGAGCATTTTCGGTGGTGCTGAGATGTATTGAGGAGTGTGAGTGCGAGTGCGAGTGCGAGTGCGAGTGTGAGAGTCAGAGTGAAGTGCATGTTTGGTGCAGCAACACACTCCACATCATGTGCACGAAGCCGATCGGAGCAAAGGCAACGTACACATCACAAAAAGCAGTTGCTACTGGTCTCAAAACATCAATTCTTCGGCTTCCGGGTATCGCATGCTCCAAAACTCCTCGCTAAGGTAACAATGCTGCTGTACTATGGCTCCAGCTCGCGGCAAGGACCTGCCTCGCAGTCGGTAACGGTGACCTCTCAACCTAATGTCTTCATCTTCTTTTTCTTGCCCGATTTCTCTGCGCTGTGTTTCTTGGTGAACTCGCGCCAGCGTCCAATGCGATGTTCACGAGTCTTCTCCCAATCCTGCTCGTGCTCTCTCTTCCGCTTCCTTGCCTCGATCTCCTCGTCTTCCTTCTTCTTCTGCCTGCCTTCCTCCTGCATCTGAGCTTTCATCTGACGCTGCCTGCGAGCCTCATTGTCTGCCAGCACGTATTTGACCTTGTTCTTCCACTCTTTGATAAAGTCGACATCGGGGTCCTTGACTTCTTCGCTGTCGGTGGTCAACTTCTTCTCCCGGATCAGGAGCATGCGCGCATCTCCGATCGCTTCGTCCAGCTTCGCACGCTCTTTCTCGTCCAGCAGCATTTGGTGTGCCTTTGCAAGCCGATCGAAGGCGTCCTGCGCGTTGGGGTTCTTGGTCTTGTCGGGATGTATCAGAAGTGATTTCTTGCGATAGATCTTCTTGATGTCCTCGTCAGGCACACCAGGCTGCAGATCCATGACATCGTAAGCGTTGGCGCGGAAGGCCTTCATGATGCGATCGATCTCCTCATCCTGTGCCAGTGTCAGTAATGCTAATGCTTCGGAAAATGGAGGCTTCGCATGCCTTGTTGAATTCCTTGGACTCTTTCTCAAGATTGTCCAGGAACGCCGCATCTTCCAGAGCTTGCTCCTTTTCGAGCTTTGCCCAGTCCTTCTCTGGCTCTTTCGCGTCGGCCATCATGTTGTGGTTGTTGATTTCGAGTCGGAGTGTTGAAGATGCAGCAGCCTTGGGTGCCCAGAGTGCAAGCTCGTGAATCGAATCCCTGCTCGCTAATAGTTCTAGCGTGAACCTTGAGCTAACGGTAACGCCGTCTATCGCCGTGGCCGTCGCGAAAAGTTCAAGGCGAAGTGTATCCTCGCGATCGTTCTTTCTCTGCGCATGCACGCATAGAGGAGCAATGGCACCTCAGATCTCGGGACGGACGAGGCTGCGGCCGACCAAGAAGGCGAAGAAGCAACAGAATGACCATCGTGGGCAAAAGAGAAAGCGAGAAGAGGTGGAGGTGGAAAAGCTGGAACAACTGGTGCGAGAGCTCGACGTCCATTCCACGAAATACTCCTCCTTCACCGAGCTGCCTCTCTCCGAGCCGACGAAGGCTGGGTTGAAGAAGGCACATTTCAGCAGTCTTACAGACATCCAAGCCAAGGCCATACCTCTGGCTTTGAAAGGGAAAGACATTCTGGGAGCCGCAAAGACGGGCAGCGGCAAGACCTTGGCTTTCCTCATACCAATCCTCGAGAACTTATACCGCGCGCAGTGTATTGGCGGGGATGCTGGGCTGGGCGCATTGATCGTCACGCCGACTAGAGAACTCGCCATCCAAATATTTGACGTTCTGCGACTGGTTGGCGGGCATGGACACTTCTTCGCTGCAGGCTTGGTCATTGGAGGCAAGCATTTGCGGGAAGAACAGGATGCGCTGCCGAGAATGAATATCGTCGTGTGTACACCAGGACGAATACTGCAGCATCTTTCGGAGACGCCCACGTTCAATGTCGACGGCCTGCACATGCTGGTTTTGGACGAGGCAGATCGCGTGCTGGACATGGGCTTCAAGCAGACTCTGGACGCCATCATTGAGTACCTGCCCAAGCAGCGGCAGACATTGCTCTTCAGTGCCACTCAAAGCAAGCGAGTCTCGGATCTGGCGCGACTGTCCTTGCAAGATCCAGAGTACATTGCTGTTCATGAAACCGCCCAGGCAGCAACACCCAAAGGTCTGCAGCAGAACTATGTCATCACGCCTCTACCGGAAAAGCTTGATGCTTTATGGTCCTTCATCCAATCTGCGAAGAAGTCAAAGATTGTCGTATTCTTCTCCACCACAAAACAGGTTCGCTTCGTGTACGAGTCTTTCCGCCACATGCAGCCTGGTATTCCACTGCTGCAGCTTTTCGGCCGCAAGAAGCAGACGGCGCGACTAGAGACCACTGAGAAATTCTCCAAGGCCAAGTACAGCTGTCTATTCACTACAGACGTTGTTGCGCGTGGTATTGATTTTCCTGCTGTCGATTGGGTCGTGCAAGTCGACTGTCCAGAGGATGCTGACACATATATCCATCGTGTGGGAAGAACTGCTCGCTACGAACGAGAGGGTCGAGCGGTCATGTTTCTAGACCCTAGTGAGGAGGAGGGCATGCTTACGAGACTAGAGCAGAAGAAAGTGCCAATCGAGCGCATCAATATTCGCAACAAAAAGAAGAGCAGTATCAAGAACCAGCTTCAGAAACAATGTTTCGAAGATGTGCAGTTGAAGGAGCTGGGGCGCAAAGCATTCATCAGCTACGTAAAAGCATTGCACTATCAAAAAGACAAGGAAATATTCAATCTCGAAAAGTACAAGCTGGAGGAGTTCGCGTCAAGCATGGGTCTGCCAGGAGCACCAAGAATCAAATATCTCAAGGCCGATGCGGAAGAAGCCAGGCGGAAGAAGAACTTGTCTAGGAAGGCGATGTTATCGGACGAGGATTCTGAAGACGAGGATGACGACGAAGATGGCGATACGAAAGCTAAGAGGAAAGATAAAGTGCGAACCAAATACGACCGCATGTTTGAGCGCCAGAATCAAGACATTCTTGCCGATCACAATCGCAAGATCATCAAAGACGACGGAGATCTCAATCGACTGGATGGCGAGCAGGCTTCTGATGAAGACCTCTTCGACGTCAAACGCCGCATCCCCGCCGACCCAACCTCAGACTTGGAGATGGACTCGGAAGGAGAAATGCCACTGGACGCGAAAGTCGCACAAGACGCAGGCACCAAGACCGTTACCATCCCAGGTGCCAAGAATCCCCTCATCATTGACTCCAACCGTCGAGAAAAGCTCCTCAAATCCAAAAAGAAGCTCGCGAAACTCAAAGACAAAGGCTCAAAACTGGTCTTCGACGACGATGGCAACGCTCACGAAATTTACGAACTTGAAGACGAAAATGACTTCCGCGCCCGCGGCGAGGCTGAGGAGCAGAGGAAGAAATTCTTGGAGGAGGAAGCGAAGAGAACACAACAGGCTGATTTGGAGGATAAGGTTTTGGCTAAGGAGAAGAGGAGAGCTAAACGAGAGAAGAGGAAGGAGAGGGAGCGAGCCGAGGAGATGGGCAGTAAGGATGAGGAAGATGAGGACGACGGAGGAGCTCAATTGGGAGGCGCGGCCAGGAGTGCATTTGATGACTTTTTGCAGGATGCTGGCAGCGTTCGTGGGCCTGAAGACGAGGAGAGTGAGGAGGAAGAGCAGCCCAGGAAGAAGGCGAAGTGGTTTCAGCAAGATGGAAAGAGGAGACGTGAGGCTGAAAACAAAGAGATCGAGACGTTTGATGATCTTGAGGCTGAGGCTGCGAAGTTACTTGGCTGAGGGGATGACGGTTCTGAATTGTAGTAGTAAAAGTATTTCGAATGTACAGCCGAATGTACGGATGTCAAAATAGCTTGCTCTGGTGAACTGAGAAGGCTCTGCCCTGCTCGCACGGGGAAAAAGTCCGGGCTGTCCGCAGAAGTGATCTGGACTTTCTGCCTGCTAATGGTTATAAGAGAAGATGATGGCTCCTGGAAGCTCGTCGATCTGGGAGCCGCCAGCAGCACCGAATTGTCTCTCCTGTAAAGCCCTCTCACTCGCCCTTTGCCATGCCGCACACGTGTTTCGTGCTTACATGGCGAAATGCTTGCAGCGTTGAAGCAGGCCTGACTGTTTGAGTGCCTTCGTACGACGGTGGCACTCCCCATTCTCACCCGAGGCGAGATCGCTCTCAGTGACAGTGGCTGTTGAGCGCGACAAGGAGCACTGAAGCGATGAAAGAGTCACCGAGAGGTGATGTTCGAAGGTAGGGACGAGTGCACGATTCGTGCCGAGATTGAGGCTGTTCGCCTCGACTGCACGGCGGGCATCTTTCTATGTCCATCCAACAGACGTATCGATCGGATGGCGAGCCTGAGAGGCGCCGTAGAACTACTCTTCTTGGACGGCATCCGCGCCATCGCTTCGACGACATGCCCGGGAGTGCAAGAACAACGACCGGGAAGAATGCGGTGGCGGAAGCTGTGGTCTGTCTACTGTCGTTCTTCCTGCGTACTGTTGAGATGCAGAAGCAAGTTGCGCGAGCATCTGTAAAGACTGCGGCTGGCCCGAGCTCAATCCATATCGCGGATATTCCGTCCACGAGTATTGCGGGAGTCTTCGATCGGGATATGCTGACTGTCCTGAGCGCTGGTAGGGCGCGCAATAGCGACTTTGCGGAGACGGGGGGCGGCCGTAAGATGGATGGAAGCTTTGCGATGATGAGATTGCGTTTCGCGCCTGTCCGCCGCGCGTCTGTATGCCCTCATCATGGCCCTGGTTCGCCATCGCGAAGGCCGCATCCCCGGCCGCTGCTTCTGCTCGGCATGCCGTGGGGACCGAAGGGGCAACAGAAGCCGTCGCACTCTGCGCGGGAGGGGCGTCGCCAGCGTCGCCAGCGTCGTCGGGGCTGCTGGTCGAGCTGCTCGCCGTCGACGCAGTCTTCTGATGTGCTGTCCTTCTCCTCACGCCTCCGCCGCCTTCCCGCCCGTTCTCGCGCAGGGACTTCTTTGGCTTTCTCGGGCCCACACGGTGGCTGTACTGCGCCGCAGCAGAACGGACTTGTCTCCGCGAGGCTTCGTCTCCCTGGCCATAGAACAGCACGTTGTCCATTGATGCGCGACTTCAGCCTGCACTTGCTGGTTATTGGGTGACAAACATGACTGGAACCGGCGCAGAGAGGGACGGGAGATATGAATGGACGACCAGGGAGGCGCGGCGGATTGATCATATGAGCAATCGCAGTCAAGTGCCGCAGGCGTGCTTCTTGTGAAGTGCCGGAAACGGACCCAGAGCCGCCTATTATCAGCCTGCTTATGATTCCGGCACTAAGGTGCACCTAATAATACTACTACTACAGTACTACTACCACCTCTACAACTTGCTTGGTACCCACTGAGGCTGCTTCTTTTCCGCAAAAGCCTTCAAACCGATCGCGATGTTTGGTGCATCCCTAAGCGCGGCTCCGTACCTCAGCTCGGTCTCTTGGCTTGCCCTCTCAACACTCGCCTGCTCCCAGCTCTCACGAAGGCCGTGTCTCGTGACGATGATCGCATCGGGGCTCAGCGATGCGACCTTTGCTGCTAGATCCACAGCTTCATTTACGACGGACTCGTGCGTCTGGGAGACACGATTCACGATGTTGTATTGAGCTGCTTCTTGTGCAGAAAGGAAGCGTCCAGCCATCGCAACCTCGGATGCAATGGTCATGCCAGCCAGGCGAACCAATCTGCTGAGACCGCCGGCGCCCGCGTACAGTCCGCGCATTGCCTCCGGAAGACCGAAGGTAGCGTTCGGTGAAGCGACAATCATGTCGCTAAAGATGAGGTCAGCAGGAGGTCGACCACATCTCCCCTGTCGAGCTGCACTTACCAGCCCAAGCATATCTCAAATCCACCTCCCATTGCCCAGCCATTGACAGCCGCTATCACGGGCTTCTTACCAGCTCTTCTGCTCACACCCAAAAATCCCGAAACTGGATGTGTGAGCAGTCGTCTATCAGGCATCTCAACCTTTTCTCCTCTTGAAACAGCTTGTCGCAGTTGAGCAAGCTTGTTCTGCTCAATCAGGTCTTGCCCGGCACAGAAAGCCTTGCCATTGCCTGTGATCACAGCTACTCGCAAGGACGGCTCTTGGTCGAACCACTGAAGCAAAGCATCTGCTTCCCAATGAGCCGCATACGGGATCGAGTTCATTTGCTTCGGGCGATCGATTGTCATCAGCATGACATATGGAGCGGGATACGTGATCTTGTAGGTCGGCGTGGGAGGCGGCTGGGTGACGAGCTTGTCGGCCATGGCTGCTGCTTGGATGAGTAGAATACACAGGATTTGGCGTCAATTCACAGAGATATGCAGTCGGGTAAGGCTGAGGGCTTGAAGCTCTGTGATCATGTATAGCGCAGAGTTAAAGGAGTGTGGAGAGAGTCGACCTGCATTGCTGTAGTCACTATCATGTGCCTAGGTATCTTGCCCTCGGCGTCGTTGTTCGGTTGAATGTAGCCGGCAGAAAGCGGAGACGACACGAAGTGACACGAGAAGTTGCGAGCCTCAGGCTGCCATTCCACTTTCAGTCCCTAGCTGCACAATGACCATCCATTCAGCGGATCTAGAAGTATCGGCCAAAACGCGCCATTCAGCTGCATTGCCGCATCGAGCATCAATTCTCTGCCTTTGCTCAAAACGCCATTCAAGGCCAGGATTGAGTGGGTCGATCCTTGGTACACGCTCACCGACGCCTGAACTCCCGCTGCTCGAAGCCGGCTCGAGAACGCTAGAGCCTCCGTAGCGAGCAGATCGTGCTCAGCCACAGCTATCCATGTCGGAGGACACTTACTGAGCAGCTTGCCGGGCGCCAGATGTGGACTGACTTGCCAATCTTCTCTGCCGAACAGCGCGTCTCGGCCATGTCCGTTCGGCAGATACATTCTTCGATACCACAACATGCGTTGTGGAGTGAGCCAAGGTGCGTGTAGGTTGTACCACCCGTTACCTGGCGTTGCGGTGTTGTCGATCACAGGCACGATCAGCAGAAGAAATATTGGCTTGAACTGCTTGAAGAGGCATGCTGCCTCGAGCGCAAGTACTGCCGCGAGATTGCCGCCTGCGCAGGTCCCTCCGATAGCCACTCTCGTGGTATCGACATTATAGTACTTGTGCGCCTCTCGAAATAGCCACTGGAAAGCTTCGATCGCGTCTTCTGCTGCAGCGGGATATGGAAACTCTGGGGCGAGCCGGTAGTCGACAGACAAGACAATGCACTGAGATGCTGGTACAGATCAGCGGTGATCTTCAATCATTTGCAATCGTGCGTACTTTGGCAGATATACGTGCAGAAGTCGTTCTCGCTATCCAGCCCACCAATGGCCCAGCCCCCACCGTGGAACCACAGCAGCACAGGATACTTGGAGACCGGCTGACTTGAATCAGGCACAAACACCCGTACACTACAGTTCTCCAGTGGGACATCTCGTATGAGACTAACCCTCAATGGCATAGATCCGCCAGGCGTCAGAGACGCTTGTGTCCTTGCTGATCCATCCCACTCCTTCTGATCATCCGGAATGACATACTGCATGAATTGGTCATGGAAAGCGACGTATTCCGGGTCCAGGAGTGATCGAAGGTTCGGATGAAGAGGCTGGTGGGCCACCAGTTGGTCCACTGGCGAACGGCTGCCTTGAAATGGTGCCATTGGTCCATCTCATGTCATTCAGTTCAAATGAGGCAAATGCGTTGAGGCCATTGCGGCAGTCGGATAACGCTGGATTCTCCGTTCAATCCCTGCTCATGCTGGAATTATGAAAACTGTGGTCCCGCAATGGCCGATTATCGGATGCATGTTCGGCTGGGGTCATAAAATGAAGCCGGGGTCTCAGCCGATGGTATGCCGTCTCACCTGCTGATCACATGTGCGATTTCACGCACTTCCGTCACTACTACCAATGACTTTAGACCTAGTTCTGCGCTATCACCATTAGACGACTTCACTGGATTGAAACCAATTAGCCAACCAAGGTATCATCATTACTGGGGGGAAACAGATGATGCGGAAGTTGCGCTATGAAGCTTCAGCCCGTTTGACGTAAGCTTTAGAAGCAGTATACATACACACACGGGGTCTGCAAAGAGGCGGTGGTTACAGTATGGCTGTATATTCTCTGGCTGTATGAAGTGCTTTGTCGTCGACGAAGCCAATCAGACCTCTTCGGCATCACGGGCCGCCTTTCGGCAAGTCACAAGAACCCTGTCTCACATAGCAGTTTCTGCACTTTGATGAGCCACACAAGACATTGACCTATCTTTCGACCGAGCTTGTGCAGGTCTGGTCATGCACTGGAAATCTTCTGGTCACAGATAGAGAGGCTTCTTGGCCGGTCGATAGCATGGGCACCATGGGCGACATGGACATCGAAGCGTTGAAGCCTCGTCGCTTCAGCTTGATCAAAGGCATCAAGCCAAGGATGGATAATGCCAAGGAAGCAGTTGTTGTCCTCGGCGACTCAGAGAAGCGTCTCGATCATCATTCCGTTGATCGCGAAACTCAATATCGCCAGCACAGAAACCAAGCCACGTCTTTGCCACGACGAATATGGAATAAGCTGGTATCTCTCGAGGCTATCGAACAGGAGGGCGTCCGACCTGTACCAGTCTCGGAACGCACGAACACCAGAGTCGTTGGCATCTTTACGCTGTGGTTCACGCTGTCAACAAATCTGCTCCCGTAAGTCCAACATACATGTCTTTGCGGTGGAACACTTGCTCACTTGATGATAGTATCGTTACTGGAATGGTTGGAACGCTTAGCTATGGCCTCAGCCTGCGAAACGCATCCCTGATCATCCTGCTCTTCAGTCTACTGTGTACGACTCCGACTGCATACTTAGCAATTCTTGGACCGAAGACCGGCATGAGACAAATGATTCAGGCCAGGTTCAGCTTTGGGTGAGTGGTCGTTCTTCGTGTCAAATGAAGGTAAAGCTGATGGAGGCAGATACTATCTGGTCTCGCTTCCGGTCCTTCTCAATTTGGCTACGCTTACTGGCTTTTGTGTCATCGATAGTGTTGTCGGAGGCCTTGCTTTATCTTCTGTCGATAGCGGAAAGCTGACGCCGACCGTTGGTATTGTGGTCATCGGGCTTTTGGGGCTTTTGGTGTCGTTCTGCGGCTTCAAGGTCCTACATTACTATGAGCGCTACGCTTGGATCCCTGCCATGATCGCCATTATCGTTGCGACTGGATGTGGTGGAAAGCATTTGCACAAGCAAGTTGAAACCGAGGCGCCCTCAGCATCAACTGTCCTGTCGTTTGGAGCTCTAGTAGCAGGCTTTCTGGTACCGTGGGCTGCTTTGGCATCCGACTTTGCTACATATATGCCCCCTTGGACTCCAGCAATCAAGGTCTTTGCGTACACTTATGGAGGACTCTTCCTACCGACTGTACCGCTCATGGTCCTAGGAGCTGCAATTGGAGGGGCAGTACCAAACGTACCGTCATGGGAAGCTGGATACGATTCAAAATCCGTTGGCGGAGTTCTGGCCGCAATGCTGAAGCCTGCTGGTGGCTTCGGCGAATTCCTCGTTGTCGTCCTGTCGCTTACATTATTGGGCAACATCGCAGCGACCATGTATGCGATCACTTTGAATTTTCAACTGCTTCTGCCCTGGCTGGTCAACATTCCAAGATCTCTGTTTGCCATTGTCATCACAGTCATAGTGATACCACTCTCCGTTCAGGCGGCCAAGGACTTCTTCGTAAACCTGGAGAATTTCATAGGCGTCATTGGATATTGGTCAGCGGCATTTGTCGCCGTGGTCGGCGTCGAGCATATACTCTTTCGAGGCAGTAGCAGCTCTTCTTGTGACCATGAGTACTGGAATGTGCCGAAAGCACTGCCCGCTGGCGTCGCTGCCGTGGCCGCTGCAGCATGCTCTGTTGCGCTGATTGTGCCGTGCATGAAACAAGTATGGTATACCGGCCCGATTGGAGCTAAGACGGGTGATCTTGGGTTTGAGATGGCCTTCGTAGTGACAGCAACACTTTATGTACCGTTTCGCTTTGCCGAACGTAGGCTCGTTGGGAGATAGCGAGGGTCGGAATCTATCCTCTTTTGTTCAGAACATCGACAGCTGCCTGCACGCTGTTGAGCACGATGACAGTCTGTCCGAGGATGTGTACGGATATGACATGCGGGTTTTACGCTTTCGACCATTCTGCGGAGGCATACTCTGGGTTATCTGTCGGTACAATGCGACGGTGTCCGAGGATCGGCTCTGCTGACGGTCCTGGAGGCGGTGGTAATCTTGAGCTGTGTCAAGCTCGTATGCTAACAGCGGTGTTTACGACGATCGACAGCATTACGAAAGACAAGAATGCTGCCCAACGCCATGTTGGTTCATGCCGAAATGGTGTCGTACTGCTTTGATCTTGATCGGGAAGTCGTGAGCTGTGAGAGGACAAAGCATACTTCTGGGATATGACCCGTGTATACGAATGCGAAGCATTGTATCCCATCGTACAACCAATATCTCGAGTTCTCGACTTCACCGAATGTCGGTTGTCGTAATACCGACGATAGACCTGCAGTCGGCTCAGTTGGGCCGACTCAGCATCCCTGCTCGATCTGCGAGTCACTGACAAGGTTCACCCAGGCCGCGGGCAAGTTTATAGGCGAAGAACGTTCCAGCTAGCAGCGATTCTGTTGTGACGATGATACGCTCCGAAATCAGGATCTGGGCTTTGATTGCACAGGCAGAAGACACCACTCTGATGATCAAACGCTCCTCATATTTCTTTCAATGAGGCCAACTTCTTCTGTGCCCACACGTAGCAGCGGCACGGGCATGACAAAGTGTTCGGGTGCTACAGCGCAAGCTGCATATCTGAGTGAGGCAACACCTCAGGATCCATACAGGTATCATCAAGGTTTCGGCAACCGGATAGCGTCAGAAGCAATGTAGGTGACAACGTCAACCAGGTACCGATGTTGCACTGCGAGGGCTCATGCTGACTGCTTGTCAGACCTGGCGTGTTGCCGCAGGCCAGAAATGCTCCACAGCGGGTCAAGTACGACCTTTATTCAGAGCAGGTAGGTCAATCTTCATCGTTTCATCAACGTATTGCATCTTGCTCTGCTTGCTGAAGAACTGAGCGACAGCTGAACGGATCACCAATTGTCTCATCCCGAACCAACATCCAAAATGTCTGGCTGTACCGAATACGACCGTCTGTCGCCCATCGACAGTTGCAGAAAATACCGAAGAACGACTTCCTAATCGAATCATGTTTCCTGCCTATGAATGACAATGTCGAGCAAGTCGCCTCGCAGCTGGCATGGGATCCATTTCCGATGCCGACAGCTTCAGAACACGTTGACTTTGTGCATGGGCTCAAGACTATTGGCGGCAATGGGGATCCGACTTTGAGAGAAGGCATGGCAATCCACATCTATACGGCATCCACTTCAATGGATCGATCGGCCTTCTGCAATAACGATGGCGACTTCCTCATACTGCCGCAAGTGGGTCTCCTTGATATTCAGACCGAGCTGGGTCGCATAATGGTGAGACCTGGCGAGCTAGTCGTGATCCAAGCCGGCATAAAGTTTCGAGTGTCGTTGCCATTTGGACCATCTAGAGGCTACGTCCAGGAAATCTTCGGAAGCCATTATGAGCTGCCAGAGCTGGGACCGATGGGTTCGAATGGCATGGCATATCCCAGAGACTTCGACATCCCGGTAGCGAGTTTCGACATTGATTCCTCAGCATGGAATATCGTATACAAGCTGGGGGGTCGATTGCACACTTGCGAGCAGTCTCATACGCCATTCGATGTGGTTGCGTGGCATGGAAACTATGCTCCCTTCAAGTATGCGATCGAGAAGTTCGTGAATATGGCCAACGTCGAGAAGGATCTGGCAGATCCAACGATATACACGGTCCTGACTGCCAGATCCAAAGTTCCAGGCGTCACGCTCACTGACTTTCTCGCTTTCACGCCAAGGTGGAGCACGACGACAAATACCTTCCGGCCGCCATACTATCATCGTAATATGTCGACAGAAGTGATGGGTCTCATATATGGCCAGTATGGTGGATCTAGCCATGTTCTCGAGCCAGGAGGCCTTTCATACGAAGCTTCGTACATGCCGCATGGCGAGAGCTACCAGACGTGGAAGGAGTCAACGACAAAAGAGCTAGTTCCCGAAAGAGTAGCAGAGGGAACCTTGGCCTGGATGTGGCATCTATCGGCGCCATTACTGCTGACGAGGTACGCGCTCGAGAAATCCGGTTGTCTGCACAGATCAGATGCAACGCGGTGGGATAATGTGCAGGGCCATTTCCTGGATCATCTAGCTGAGATCAATGCCGATCTGGCTACTGCTGGACTACCTCTACTTGGTCAACATGAGATAGCACAATGAAGAGTCTAGAACCTCGAACTGTAAGAGATGCGTACCAGGCCTGGGCAACATCGATTGTGGACTGACATCATCCATCGACGGGCTGGTGTCTGGATTTCTAGGCTCAGGCCGCGAGTTTCATGTGTTAAATGCCGTTCATGTGTTAAATTGCCGATGGCTTTGCACTCACCTCCTCGCACGCCGCCGTACCAGGCAAGCTGGCATGTCCGCAGGCAGCTTCCTGTGCACAGACAGGCGGTGACTTGAAGGTTCGAAGCCCACTGAAGGCTTGGGTCTTTCTCGCTTCTGACGAAAGCTCTCCCTAGCAAGGGCGCAGCTGTGGCATTGATCGAAGTCGATTCAATGGAGACCTTTTGCCGGCGTTTTGAGGGCAGTGGTCACCACACACAGGCCACTGGTCACCACCGAATTACCAAAGCTTCGTAGAAACATCGCGAGTGGATTGCTGTCTTGACTGTTCCGGATTCAGTGGTATTCTGTTGTCACGACTGGGGTAGACAGGTCTCACCATGACTTACATACAGGGCAACCACCTTGTTTCCGGCAGACGGAGCTCTCGTAACTACTACTATACCCTCTTTCATCGACCTAGTTCTATGCATCTGCTTTTCAGATAAATCTGATCCACGTGCTATCCATACAGTATATATTTACCTCAGGGCTACGCAAGGGGTTTATAAATAAATAAAGTATCGTTGCCCTATAGTGCTTGTCCTAATCGATCGGAGCGACGGCGAGATTCGAGAACACGCGGGGGCATCTTTGAAATTTAGCCTATTGGCACTACTGATCTGATTCTTTGTTCTCGATTTCTACGCTACAAGCTCCGCTTCTCAAGTTGCTCCAGGTGCCTGGTGCCTGTTGTTAGTCTGTCGCTCCGCTCGAACCATTGGCCGTGCGCTAGCTAGCAAGGGTCTGATGGGAGATGTTGGTCCGTACGGAAAGTAGAACTTCCGCAGTGTCCGCAGTACGCTCGCAGAACGCTCGCAGACTAGACCAACCTCATCGTCGCTACCGCTAGAGTCATAGCGTCTTGCCAAGTAGTATGGTCTATTGCGGAATCAATAATAGCCGCAGTGAACACGTTGGTCCACCAGCTCTACGGATTTTGCGGACGGTAGATCTATATCTCTAGGTCTATTAGGAGATAACTTTCAACAAGAACTGAATGCTAGCGTTATATTGCAATTCAATACAGGCATAATCTGCTTCTCCTACTGGATGAAACAGCCGCCATGGACGGGGTTCATTTCTATTATTAGATTCCTTGGTAGCGTTGTTTATATTAGGAAGGACCATCTACTCAAAGTCCGGAAGATGAAGTGCGCAGCAGTTGCAATGAACCATCATAGGACACACTCCAAGTCTTCCAAGTGCCAGAGGCATAGAGCACTTCGGGAAGGTCGCTATCAAAATCGAATAGATTAATAAGCAGATCAGCCAGAAACATTTTAATGCAAGCACGACTCATGAATGAGCACTTTTGAGCAGGTTTTTGGTGTCTGACTTACATATAATCTGCCCGGGCTGGGGTTCCGATGCACTCGCACAGACATCCACAATCCTTCCGGCACAGATATATTGACGTGGCTTACTCTCGACCTACTGCACGTCTGCTGTTCCTCGATCGTTTAAGTCGACCTCATCTCTCGTCGTGGTCGTCGTGCAGCAATCGGTTTTGCTCCTACACGGCACGAAAGCGCTTCACGGACCTGCTTTACAACAACGAATAACGATGTTACTTCAGTTTCATCCATTGCGCGAGTGCAGGAGCATTTGACTGAGGTTGTCGCGAAAGGACAGTTAGATCTCAATCCGAATCAAGGTGAATTCTGGTTGCAGTTCTGTCGTCCGGAACAAAGCGCCAAACAAATAAACAGGATGCAATACGAAATGACAATTCACGAAAATGCTGCCCGCCACTATTCAGTGTCCTACGATTCGATGCTGCGTCGCCTCCTACAAATACCGTTCCCGTTCACCTGATACTCCGTGGGAAAGCTTGCAGGAAAGGCATCAACGCCGTCAAGCAATGCAACCGCCATGCCGCCAGTCAAATGTGTCTGAATATGGCAATGCAACATCCAAGCACCAGGATTCTGGCTGTAATACCTGACGACCAACCACGCCGGAGTGCCAAAGTTTGGCGGCGTACCGAATCCATCTCGCAAAATGGGAGTATCGAAGTTGAAATTCTGCGGTTGTGCAGCCGCGGCCTCTGCAACACTATTCCACGTCCAATTGCCGAGACCTTCCCCGACGATATATGCTTTATTGCTGTGCTTGTGCATGGGATGTGGTGGGCCGTAGTGATCAAGGACGACAAATACAAGGTCGACCCAGGTTCCATTCTGCGTCTTGACGACAAGATTGCTGTTGTTCGCGTCGTGACCGTTGGGATAGTATAGCAATGGCTGGTCTTGAGCATAGACTGTCGGATAGTCGGGATAAGATTGGTCGGCGTCGACGGTCCAGAGGTATGGCGCTCGGGTGCTGGACATGTAAAAGATGCGAGTCTGCTGGACGTTTTGTGAAGGAGGTATATTCGGAAATGGCACGATTCCTGGACTGGTCTGGTTGAGCAGAATGGTGTCGGGTCCTGGCTGTACTGGAACGCCGCCATCGGTGAAATATGGTCGAGACGTGGACTGAGGAGGACTTTGTTGCCTTGTATCGATTTGTTGCGAAAGCTTGCTTGGTCGGCGCCATTCAACATTATTGGGCTCGGCTTTGCGTTTCTCTTTGAAGGAGATATCGAACGAAAAGTCCCCATGGTTTTGAGGAGAGGACCCGCCTCCACTGTTGCTACCACTGGCATAGGTAACAGTTGCAAATCCGCTGATGAGCTGGTTCAGCGCGGTGTTGCTGGCCCTCCATGTGTACGTTCCCGCCGGTTGATTGAGTTCAACCATGACAGCGTATCGATCTCCGTTATTGACCAGAATGCCTTGAGCCTTATATGGCTTGATGTATCTGCCATCAATAGCATAAACCCACAGATCGTGCTGATCGAGGCTTACGACGGGCGCGACGATAGATGCCGCCCCTATTATATTGAAACTGACCCATCTCTTGCTTGCATCGACTTGAAAGTTGTACAGAGGTGCGTTCGTAGCGTTGCAGCCCGTGATCTCAGGCGGCACCTGGTCTGGACGGATCAGAGCTGGTTGGCCATGTACTGTTTGCGTGTGGTGCGTGAAGGGAAGACAGCCATTCGGCAGGGGCGCAGAAATATTCGCCAGCTGGTACAAGGCTCGAAATGAAGGTGCCAGAGCCGCCAGTTGCTGCTCTGGCGTGAGGCAGTTGACACGGCCTTGCCCATTGAAGAGAATGCTCTGTACGCAGTAGAGACTCATGTTACTGCGTTGCTGAAGAGCGAAATGCTGGTCGGACGTCACGTGCAGCCAGTCGGAGAAGATTACGAATTGCGGGTTGGCTTCAGCAGCCAGAATCTGCTGCTGATGATTATTACCGGGCATCTCGCTGAACGGTCTTGGCTCATTCGCTCGCGTGCGAATGTGAATGGCACCAAAGAATCCGTCGCTAATCTGAGATTGATAGTGCGCATGGTACCTGATCTTGTCAGCACACTCTGCTGTGAGGGGGCCAAGGATTATGATACCAGTACGTGCCATACTCCGTGGCCTTCCATTGGTATAACCAGTCTCCCCCCACTGGTATTGGCCTCTGCGACAAACCAGGCACTCCATCTGACCAAGGTGTGTTCAGCTGTCTACGAGGTCGGTGTCAGGTTGAATCGATTTTGCGAGAGACGCTGCACATACTCGATACCATGGAAGTGGACAGTAGTGTTCATGTTCAACCTGTTGCGAACATAGAACTGCCAGAGGGTTAATGCAAAATTCATGGCCGGGAATATCATACACACCTGGACGTCATCATCCTGATCGACAATCAAAGCTGGACCTGGCGAAGTGCCATTCACCAAAATGCCAGCTCGACTGTATCCATCAGGCGCCACTTGACCCCAAGCGACTTCAATGGCGAAGTAAACAGTCTTCGCACTGGTGTATGAACAAAGGGCCAGAGCGCAGGCGAGGACGGATGAAGCGGACAACATCGTGGACTTTGTACGAACTCTCAGCAGCTACTACCGAGACCAAAAGCGCTGATGAGGTCGCATAGCTTCATATACGTGAATGTCGATGTTCGCTGCAGGTTGGCTGTAGCATCACAGGCATGGTCCGGTAGCCTACCGTAGCCACAGGCCGTTCAGGTTCTTGGGGCAGGCGGGCCAAGATCTTCTTCCTCTCCTGGACAAAGTATTCATGGATTTGCCAGTCGTCTTTCACCGTATGACCCGGCGCCGAAAGCCTCTTGAACCGTGACACGGATTTCGCAGTTTTTCTTGGCTTGAAACAACAATCGAGTCACACTATTTGTGTTCGTACACTTCGGTAGCATCAATCGAAGTTGATCAACGATTTGCAAGCCATAGTATAGAGACGAGCGCCAGATGGAGGCGATTGTCCAAAGATTTTAGTGTACCACTCTTCTGGGCTGTAGCCACCAAAGTTTGCTAACAGAGTCCCGATATGGTGGTATAACCTGTTCCGGATTAGAATGGCCTTGGCTGAGGTGACGATTAGGGTTAAGAAGGAGGGTGTTCTTGGTACGACGGCTTGCCTAATTAGTTGACTAGATAGACAGGGGTTGACTCCAATATTAATACGTATTGCTAGTACTATAGGCCTATATATAGAAGCTGTTTTTTATTGCTATCGCTATATTATCTTAGCCTCTTATTGCTGTCGCCGTATCGATTAGAAGTCCTTCTCTTGCCCTTTATCTTACGCATCGCGTCGTCGTTGTCTATCTAGTCGTATTAAGAAGCTACTAATACCTCTAATCTAAGGTTTATAACTCGTAACGGCCGCTAAGGCGTTATAAGGTCGATAAAGGACGTATTCGACGCTCGAGGCGTGTCGCCTATTAAATCTACCTCTTTAACTAAGTCGATATCTATAGGCTATACCGACTATATATCTAGTAGCGACTCGCGACGTAGCGGCTCGAAGTAAGGGCGCGTAGGTAACGATAATAGAGCCTAATTAATACGCTGTTGTTATCGCTATCGCGGCGGCCGCGCTATAGCTAGCGCTCGGAAGGTTAAGGTTATCGACCGAGTTAGAGTCGTCGGCTACGCTAGAAGGTATAAGGTCTACTACCGCGGCCGCTTACCTATAAAAGTAACCTTAGGGGCGCCGCTCTCGTAGTAATTAGTAATCGAGTAGTTAGCAAGGCTATATAGCGTGTCCTTAACCTTGCGAAGGAAGCCGCGTATATAGCTGTCGCGCACTACTAGATTAACGGTCTTATCGTCGCGAATACGATAGAAGTATTAAGACAGGCCCTCGGCGGCCTCGTTATAGTGCGACCTCAAATTACGAAGATATAGATCTCCTATAGTCTATAGCTTCCGCGTGTCTTCGTAGCCTTCTAGCTATAACTAATCGCTGTCTCGCTGCTTCTAATATAGGCTTATCTTTATAGAATTGAAGCTAGTATACTAATTAACGTATACCTATTGTTGCTAGAGTATTAATAGCGTAACAAACAGGTGGAACCTAAGGATATAGTAACAAGGTAGGTAGGTTTGAAACTACGGAAGGCAGTTGTAGTAAGCCGGAGCCGGCTCCTGTCTATTATATAGTATAAGGCTATAGTAGGTCGGTAGGCCCTTTACCTTACACTCTTCTGCGATTAATAGCTGCTTTCTAACAAGGTCCTAAGCCGCTAGAGGTTAAAGCCGCTCGAAGAATAGCATCTCTTTAACCTTCTAGAAGTTAGTAGATTTTCTAACCCGGTATAGTTAAAGGTCTGCCTTCTATAATAATCGAGCGTCGATTGTTATTAGCTCGACTATAGTGCTATATATAGACAGCTAGACCATCTCTTTCCTCTTATCGTATTTGATAGCGTTATAATAGCCCTCGAGAGGCGATGTTGTCCGGACCTGCATTAAAAGAGGGCTTCCTAGCCGTGCCTAAGTCGCCTATAGATACGACTTCTTACGCTAGTTATTAAGGAGGTATTGCACCTGTTTATCCGAGGCGTATTTGTCTCTCAATTCCTATACGATTCTATCGATAGTATCGATAACTTCTACGTCGCTACGGGCGTAGTAAATCGCATAGGAAAACAGCCGCTAAACCTATAGATACTACTTCTTAGGGAAGTGTCGTAGGAAGGTCTCTTTAGCGTGTCGTTAATAGAGATACATAGTTATAGCCTCCTCTTTAAATGCTAGTCGAATAGCGCGTTGTTCTTAAGCCGAGTCGTTAGTTATAGCTACTATAGGCTTCTAGCCGGGTGCCCATTTCTTTAATACTTGAAGCCTAGCCTTAATTAGCTTTGCTCGCTAGCTCTGTAGCAACATATGCCCCCCTAGCATCTAGGAGCCGAAGGCATTGCGGATATAGACTGTAAATAGGTAGAAGTTATTGTCGGACGTTTTGTAGGTCGCATCGAAGAGAAATAACTATATATAGACGGTTAGTCGTTGCTATCGAAATTTGTGTATTAGGAAGAGAGCCGGAAAGCTAATGCCTAAGGCACTACTAGCTCCGAAGAAATAGGAACCTACATTACTAGCAACACTACTATTTAGCAACTTACGCTGCTAGTCGGCCTGCTATATAACACCCTTATACTAGAATGCCTCTATACGGATAGAGAGAGCCTTATAGGAGAGTCCTGCGTCTGTAATATCGTCTATAAGAGGGCCGAGATAACGATTAAGGTTGTCTAGCTATAATCGAATATTGCCCTTCTTAGTTAGGGACACCCTCTTTACATTCTTCTTTGCAGACCACTTTACAATACCTTTCTTTGTACGGTACGCTCCAATAATGGCAAGACGACCTGTATTAGTACCCTCCTTTAGTAGGTGGAATACATAAGCCGTTTTATAGTTGTACTAATCTATTAGGTGTTCGATAACAACCCGGAGGCTATCACTAGAAGCCCTCACATCCTATAGCTAGTCCAGTCAGCTTCGTAATATGACTTAATCCACTATATTAACCTTACTATATAGTCTATCGTGTAACTATAGATATTGTTATTACTATACGCCGAATCGCGGCCTCCTCGAGCGATCTTATAGCTACGAGGCTCCTTATCCGCCTTCCGATCGAATACCGCGATTATAGCTATCGACGCGTCGTATAGGTCCTTATAAAACTCTACCTTATAGATACTAATACCTAGCTCTCGATTGCGATTGAAGTTACGCCGATAACGACAGTAGTATATCGTCCGCTACAACAACCTATCCTTATAACGAGCGCCCTTATGTTTCTCCTAGAAGTTGGTTACAAAGGGCCACACCTATTTAAACTATTCCTTCGGCATAAAGGAGCCTTAGGTTAACGGACTAAACAGCGAATAGCGCAGTTAATAGGTTATAGAAATAGGGATAAGATAAGCTATATTAAAGAGCTAGATTAAAGAGCTAAATTAAAGAGCTAGATTAAATGAGTTAATAAGTATTATAGTAACAATAGACAGCTATAGCGACTTTAGCAACACCTCCTATATAGAAAATGGGCCCTATACTATTAGGTTTCGACGACATGAGGTTAGAGACCCTAGCATCCGCGGAATGCCTGTTTTAGCTAGCAATATCAACACTTCTCAGATCCGGTTATCTACGAAGGAATGCCTCGGAAATTATATATAGGGCTAATCGGCCAGGCACTAAAATCTTCTAACAACTGCTTATAATTCGAGCGCTATGTATTCGCCTAACTAACTCCCTAATTCGTTTAAGCAAGGGCTTACTTTCTTTGTTAACACTTCCCTACGCAAATCTGCCTAATAGACTTTTATAGCACCTTTAGCCGTAGTCGTCGTACGAATCGTTCAAGCATGCTAAACCTAGAGCGGAGTTAGGGGCACAGTCTTTTACTAGCGTTTACTAGGCAATAAGCCACCCGCAATCCTCTAGTTTAGTAGCGTTTAGAACTACTCGGCGTAGTAACGATTTAGGTTAAGAAGGGCGCCTCTCTCGAGCCTATCGGTTAACTATTATAGAAGCGGCAATTTTGCAGTAGACGAGACTATTATATAGACTAAGAGTTGTTGTTATAGAATTGCTATAGAATTACCGCCTTCTACGACTATAGCGGAAGGCTTGCCCTCGCTAATTGCTATCTCTTCGACCTCGTTATTGTTATTACTTAGTACGTAGTCTACGAGTTGTTGTTAACTTACTACTACTACTAGCGGTTGACTAGCGGTTACTATATGTCCTTACGCCTCTTAATTCTCGTCCAATTCGCTCGTTACTAGGCAAGTTATTAGCGGCGTCGTCTTCTAAGGGAGGCGAATTTAATACCGCATGCCCCTACGTTCCTAAATAGGATATTTGTTTACTTCTCGGTATATATATATATATCTTCCTATCGCGTTCTTCCTCTTTCTTATATTAACCTCGCTATCGCTACCGTAAGTACTATCCCTCCCTGTTTATCGCTAATTTTAACGCGTAGGACGATATATATCGCGTAGACGCGGTATATATATTTCGCGTAGAGGTCCCTTTCCGGCATTTTAGCCGGAAATTCGACCTCGCTATCGCCCCCCCCTCCCTCTACCTTAGGATCCCGCTCCGCCCCGGGGCAAAGAATAGTAGGGGCCCCCGCTAGCTAAGACCGTCGGACGGCGGGGACCCTCCGAAGGGAGCCTGCGACCGTAGGAAGGGGGGACCCGTCCGTAAGGTATACTCGAGGCGTAGGGGTACTATTCTACGTAAGACACTACCTCTTCCGCCGGAGGCTATTAGTATCTTTCTTTTTAAAAACGTCGCGAATAAACGTCGTCTATACTCGTCTAAATTCTCGTCTAATTTCTCGTCTAATTTCTGTCTTCCTACCTCCGTATTCTATAGTAGGTTGCCCTTCGTAACGAGCGTAGGGGTAAAAAGACCGTATATGCGGTATTAAATACGGGCCCCTTCTAAGTCGTCTGTTATCTAGCTAGTTAGTCGCCTAGCCGCTCGTTCGTAATCCTCGTCTCTTATATAGCTTATTGTCGTATCTATAGTATCCTAGTCTA